TCTAGCCACATCAATGTGTTCACGCTCTTTGTTTTTCTTCCCTTTGTTCGTCTTCGGAGTCAACATTTAGAAAATGAGAAGCACCAAAAGAGATATTATTGACAGCGCCTGTCAATTCAAAACCTTAAGATTTGAGTATATAAATCACACCTCTTATTTATATTTTGCTCATTTTAATCGTGAGATTAACTATTCACACTTAATCTCTAATAAAAATCTCGTTCTCAAGTGTGAATCACCTACGACACTAATTCCACCGTGTTACCAACCAATATAATTTGCATCGCAACCAGGGAGACACTTGGGTGCCATGGTCCCCCAAAGTCTCTATACCATGTAAGGTACTATGCAGCATGTCAAGGCTTTGGCTCTATTCAACGTTGCTAACATGAGAAGAAAAATAATTGGCTACATTAAATCATTGCCTTAGTTGGTCCCTCCAATGGTGAGACTTTAGCTTAACCACTTCTTCTAACTAAGTTGTTGGATAGACTTTAGATACAATGACTCAATACATGTGCATTCACTCTTGCTTCTCATCAAAAGTTAAAATAAACAATGAGTTGTTCTTCTAATGATACAACATTAAGTTGTTATAGTTATTTATGTGGATCCTATTTCATTTTAGAGGATTGATTGGAGAATATAGTGCTCAGAAAAAGAAATGATGGGAAAGTAAAGTAATCTACCCCACTTAATAAGTTGATTAATTATTATGCAGCCCTAACTAGGATACCGAATCTATCAACTCCATTATTGTCTATAACAACCAAACATTTATAATTTAGTGTAACATAATTATGCATATTGAAAATGGCCATTTGCTTTTTTTTTTTTTTTTTTTTTATAGTACTTATAGTTTTTTATGCTAAAAATATATAGAATCTTCTTTAATATGACTTTAAACAGGATTCTCGTTAATAGATTGTAGAATTAATCCTCTTAAATTAGTGGGTTGGATCGCAAGATACTAAGATTTTTAAAAAAAAACATAACATAAATGCTATATTTATAGTGATTCATAATGTAAAATTGAGCTAATAATATTAGTTTGTGATTATTTATGATCAAAGATGTTAATTGAGCATATTTAATTTCCATCTATGATTTATAGATAGTGGATCGCACGTACAACTTGAATTATTGCACATGACTTCAAAATTAACAATTATTTTTATGTTGCTCTTATTTTCATTTGCAGGGTAATCTTTGGCATGCTAATTTCCTTGCCAATAACTCTCATTTACTACATATTTCTTGGCTTGTGACAAGTGGGAGAAAAGTTCTATCAATGGATTGAAAAATATAATATTCAAATTCCTAACTATGGTAGCATTTACACTAAACCATGTTGGAATTCATCAAAGTAATGTATACATACATCGGAAAAGATTCTAAGTCCCATAATTGTGTCAGCATGGACCACCATTGGTTTTCCACTATTGTAGAGAAGATTGACCTATGCTTAAAAACTGGTTTTAACTTTTACTTAAACAAGGGTGTGATAAGGTAGCACAATTTAGTAGTTGAGATTTAAACTCAGCATTCCATTTCTTATAAACATGTCTTTTAGGAATGTTTTGCACGAATAAATATATATAACTTTTTAGTTTTATATATTCATATTTTTATTTACTCACCTATTTATCTTTTCTGCGTCAATGTGAATGTAAAATAATAGTAAAAGCACCGAAAGAGGAATAAGTATTATCACGACCAATCATTAAGGTTTGAGACTTGCTTTGTTGTTGGATGTTGGAAGGAAAGTTTTGTTGGGACAAATATCGATTCTGTCATCTCAGATAAATAAAAAAAGTGTATGAAAGCAACATTTAAACAAATTTATGGCACGCTAAGGTGAAGATTTATTTGTGTTCAATGACAATATGCAAACGCTGAGGTGAAGATTTTTTTCGTGTTCGGATGAGAATATTTGAATGACAAATGATACTAGGTTAATTGTTATGGTAATATTTTCTTCTATTCGAACCTTACACTTTTTAGGGCTTTAGAAAGGAAGACTTTTTTAAGATTGCGTTATATTTTAAAATGTGAGATATTTTTAAAAAGTATAAAAAACAATGCACTCTATTATCATATAAAATCATATTGATTTTTAAGTTTTTAAAAAATATCACACATTCTAAGATATAAATGCAACATTCCATTCAGAAACTCTCTAAAAAATTAATTCTCAAATAGATCCTACATCTTTAGTTTAATCATCAATTTTTGCATATATAAATATTGATTGATTATATTTAAATAACATTGAACAATTCATTATTATTATTATTATTATTAATAAAAATAAAAATCTTTTTATTTATAACTAAAAAGCTTAGTTTTTCTTTATCTATAACAATATATAAAGACAATACATTATTTTGGTGTAGCCTATTTTCGTTCCTCTTTTACCCTTTAAAATTACTTAGAAGTTACACAAATAAAAATTAACTACTCCCTCCATTTTATATTTGAATATTGTATAAAGTAATTAGTTATTTGAAAAGAAAACTCACTTTAACTTCTAATTAAAAATTATATTTAAATAGCTTCTCCTTATAAGTTATATCTTTCATTTCTAACTCATTGGGTCCATAGAAGTCAAAAATGAAGAAGAAGAAAGACTGCACGAGGAAAATTGGAATCCAAGCAATGTTCATGATGATGGTAGAAAAGAGAAAGCTACAATTTGCAGATGTCATAATATGGATTGTGAATCACACAATGATTTATGTTAGAGTTAATTATTAGGCCATTTAGATTCTTCAATCTAATTTTTTGATTTGGTTTTTTATTTATTTTCATTTACTATTTTGTTCTTTTTACATAAACAAATCGATATGTGAAATTGGGGTTTAAAAATTGAGATTATTGGATTTTTTTTAATGTCTAATACTTTAATTTTTTTCTCTATTATAAAAGAAAAATGAATCATTATCTCTTACGAAAGAAAAAAAAAGTGTTTTCTAATGTCTATGATCAAATAAGAATGACTATTTTTATTAAATTTTTTAAAATTTGGTTTTCTCTCTTGAATCTTTATCTATTATTGTTCCAATTTTACCTGTGTAATTTGCAAAAATTTTAAAATATAAACAATATCTCAATTTTTAAATTATATAATTTCTACAATGTGACGTAAACATTAATCTATACTTATCTATACCTATAGATAAAAACAATATAACATTTTGGACTAACATATATTTGTTAGATATTTGACCTTTAACTGTTATTTTAAAATCAACCACATATACAAAATAAATTTAGTAAATAATAATTGTTTCATTCTCAATTTAAAACTTTAACAATTTTTTATCATCCTTATCTTTAACTTCCTAAACAATTATCTCTCTTTCACTTGCAAGTTATTTTTCTCTCTATCATGAATTGTTAATTTCATCTAAATTCTATTTCACATGCAATTTTGTCTTTCTTTCCATTATTATTGAATCTTTGTATGGTGTGAATTGTATATACTGTCAATGTGTCTTTGTGATTACATACAGTATAAATATAAAAAAAAAGGTTTTGTAGAAAGTTAGAGTTGTTACAAACCATTGTATATCATTGTATATTTTACCAATTATCAAGTCATTTACTATACCACCATTCAACTCCTCTGAAATACAAACTTGAACTATATATATTTAATTTTTTTAATTAATGCATCAGAAAATAATTGATCATTTTTAAAATATGCAAAAAAAATATGATGTTTAATTATATTGTGTAGGTTGTTATTGAGATTAATCTCTAATCTTGCCATCTATAATATTCACATTCACAAATAAAATTACAGTAATGGTAAATATAGGCTTTAGAGTTTTTTTTTTTGTATAATGTCAAGTCTAAGGCAATGAATGATATTAAGGGTTGAATATTGTTTAAAGATTGAATGTATTTGTGTTTATGTTTTCATCATGATTCTTTGTGATAACCAGTTATTAACTACTTAACAAAACAAAAAAGAGGAACAAATAAATGTCATGTGCAAAGGAGATTGAGATATATAGAGAGGTAGAGAGACTGATGAGTGATATAAAAAAAGAGTTAGAGAGAGACGAAGAGAAAGTGAGAAAAAGAGAGAGAGAAAGGAAACACATATTAGTGGCAACATCCACAAATAAGTTATAAGAAAGGTGAAGTTACAAAAATAAATAACAGCTACACTAGTGGAAAAAAGGCTTCTTAAGTCGGTTAAAAATGACTTTTTAAGTCGGGTCCGAGCCCGACCTAAGAATTACCGACATAAGAAGTTTTGACTTCTTAAGTCGGTTGTGGACCTGACTTAAGAAACAACTTCTTAGGTCGGTTAGGCAGAACCCGACTTAATAAGTCTAGCCTGCAGAAACCATTTATACCCGACCTAAGAACTTACTTTCTTAAATCGGGTATAATTAACTGACCTAAGAAGTTGTTTTTTTTTATAATCACACAAATCAGATGCAGTTTTCCCATTTAACAATTTACCCCCAAATCAGACTATCCAACTCAATCAACAAATTACACCCAAAATTATCATAAAATTAACTCTTCTTTTCATTATCACAAAATTATGTAGAACCAAGTATATTAACACAAGTATATTAACACAAGTATAAATTACAACCAAGTATATTACCATCACCTAACCAAACACCAAAATTAATCACATAGACTTGAGAATGATATAGAGCTTGTTTGAAAAAAACAACTTAAGTAGGAAGAATTTGTATAGAGTACTTCGAAATTGTTCTTCGACAGGTGTACTGATGGCCCATCCGTTGTTACGACATATGAAAACAACTGGTGCCTCCATTACTGCTGCAAAGTTCATAGCAACATGAAAATCTCCCTACAATATTTCAAATATCAGCTAGAAGCATAATGATGTGATATTCTATAATTTCTTGGCTCGTATTCATCATTACTAACCTCACTAGTACTTTCATCCCCGCAAAAAGTGACTGCGCAAGCACTTTTTCCGTCCATTTTAAGCGAATAAGCAGCGCCTACAGCTTGAGGAAGTTGTGTCCTGAATTTCTTGCCAAACAACATGAACTTATTCAGAATAAATGTCTGAAATTAATAGTTGCAATTATTTTAACATGTTTATTACAGTACGGTATATATGTCTTACGCAATAGACGACGAGACTGTGAAGTAATTGTGTTTGTTAGAGCCGTAGTGTATCGGCATTTGTCTTCCTTTACTAAAATCATTTGTGTTTCCGAAGCATTGATGAGCGAATTGTTGTAGAGTGTCTCGGTACTAGCAGAAAATGTGATATAGCGAAATAAAAAACGGAATTGAATTTGAAAAGAATCACGAGGGAATTTCAATGCCTTAGGGAAGAAGCAAACCTGAGGCAAGATAACATCATCAGAAGAAAGCGCAGCTGCTGATGCAATGTTAACAGCCTCTTTTCCTGATGTAGTGAGGTAGAAGGAAATTCTTCCTTGCATCTGCAGCTCATAGAATATGCTATCCATGGTTTGAAGAGTGACCATCTCAGAATGCATTCTCACAGCCAATTCTTTGCTAACCTGTTGAAATGTGGTCCAGAAGTTTCTTCAACAAAATTCTAAGAAGCTCAAATACATATTACAACATGACATTGATACTGATACGGAGATATGATTATGATATGACATACCTGATGGAATTGAGAAAATATTATAACAAGACCAATGTTGTTATTATACTGGAATAGGCCTTTTAATCATTAGTCATGAACCTTTTTACACAAGGCACAATAATTGCCCTTGGGGTGAGTTGATGTGCATCAGATGCTGCTTTTATCATCTCTTGTGTTGCATTGCGTTCTGATGCAGTTTTTTGTATGTCTTGTTGTGAATGATCTGATGCAGTTTTTTGTATCTCTTGCTGTGAATGATCTGATGCAGCTTTTTGTATCTCTTGTTGTGAATGATCTGATGCAGTTTTTTGTATCTCTTATTGTGAATGATCTGACGTAGTTTCATGTGCAGGTGGATGAATGTTATCAACACTAGAAGGCTGCACTACATGATCAACATGTGATCCTGTTGCCGCCTTTAATGTTGTGTTGTTTTCTTTGAACATTAACCTTAGGATTTTGACAGCAATGAGAGCCAAAATAGTAGCCGAAGGAACAAAGACAACATCAGGAACGACATTCATAAATTTCAGCTGAGGCAGTGTTGTTTGTCCGGTTCTTTTAGCCACCATGGCCGCTGGTGGCGCAACCATTGCAGTGATTATCATAGATTCATCTACTTTGTTGAGGTTCACATTTTTATTCATGAAGTCTATGAACATCTTCTCTTGGTCTTCTTCATCAGACTCTTTCCAACGTTTGAAAATTTCCTGTAGTTTGAAAGTCAAGATCATGAATAATTTTCATAATACATTTATTTATCTACGAGACAAATTGTATAAGATTACAAACCTTTACATCCTTATACGACGAGGCATCATAATGCTTCCCCGGTACAGCCACGTTGATTGTACTGCATAAAACTTGATTCTTTGTTACTGTGATAATCTGATCAAATTAATTTTTTTTGGCTATCTATGTTATAGATGTGAACTATTAACTAGTTTTGTCGATGACTAATCCTAATCCATGCTGAGGAACATGATTGAACCTCTTCGCAGTGTATCTTATATATATATATATATATATATATATATATATATATATATATATATATATATATATATATATATATATATATATATATATATATATATATATATATATATATATATATATATATATATATATATATATATATATATATATATATATATATATATATATATATATATATATATATATATATATATATATATATATATATATATATATATATATATATATATATATATATATATATATATATATATATATATATATATATATATATATATATATATATATATATATATATATATATATATATATATATATATATATATATATATATATATATATATATATATATATATATATATATATATATATATATATATATATATATATATATATATATATATATATATATATATGTATATTTTTATCAGCAGGCTTCGAACTTTCGTAAATATTTAATGTTGTTGTTATTATGAACATAGAAAAGATAATCAAAGTACCTGTTAAATACATTAACTGTGATCAACATAACAATCATTAACAATCTCAAATCTTTGTAAACACAATACTAATGATAATCTGAACCAATTAAATGATGAATGAATTAAAACTCAAAATGTATTATGGCTATGGTCCTCATTACTAATACTTGGAATACCTATTGTTGTTCTCATCAGATGTTCTAAGAGGTTGCTTCCGCAAAGGACGGCTTTCAATCTATAAGAATAATTAGTCAATTGTACAATCAAAAACACATAAAAAAACATACTTGTAAATGTAATTTCCATAAAAGATAATATGAGCTCACGCCAAGAAAACAGCTAACCTTTGAAAGATTAATTTGACGCAGCGCAAAAACAGCAAGGGCCTTGAAAAGTATCCCAGGTCCCTCTTCTAAGGAGAAAACTATGCTTGTCTAAAAATTCAATGCCATAATCAACAGAACTATCAATATTGATGTCAGTAAGCATAAAAGTATTGATGTCAGAACTAGACATGAGATGTGTCCTATGATATATTCAATTGAGTAACTTCAGCTATTTATGTTAGTTGAGGTACCTTAAATGGCCTGTCTGTGCCTGGAAGTATAGGTTCTCGCGCCAACACTAAAAATCGAGTGATATTATCACCATCGTCCTGCCAATGCAAATCCATCAGGCATCAAATTTAAGATAAACACAAATTGTCTACCATGTCATTTAAAACAGAGCAACACAAAGACTCAAACCTGGATGTCTTGAGCAAGTATATTTAAGCCATAGATCTCTGCGGCAGCTAAGCTAGCAACATCTCCTGCATCTTGTAGTTTATGGAAAGCAACATGCTATAATCCGTAACTGTGTTAGGATAACTAATATTGATAATCATGTCAACAACAACAGCAGAAAATGATAATCTATACATCCTTCACCCCAAGGTGCAATATACAATCATTAACTGATATTTAGTGGATGACTTTTTCATTACTTGATTCCTTAACCAGTACCCTAAGGACATTTGTTAACCAGGCTTTTTAAAATCAAAACAAATTATGAGATATCAATATTATTTCACCCCAAGGTGCAATATACAATCATTAACTGGAATATATGATTTCGAGTTTTAAATTGGTTAGAACTTGTAATGCAAAACTACCAGAGTTATATTTGTCGATATATCAGCATATATAATATTATTAAATACATTATTAATCAAAGTTACCAGAGGTTATGTCATAGAACCCATAAATTTAAAGAACACAATAGTATATTATTTATAAAAAAGCTTGAGCATAAAGGCTCTATAATGGGGGGATAACAGAAAGAGAGAGAAGAAGCCAGTTGATAGCCAGTTGAAAGATCGGCTCTCATCCTCGTGTCTGTCATTGGCACTTTTATGTAATATTTTGGGTACCAAGTAATTGGTAGTCTTCCTCCTGCATTGCATTGATGACTAAAATTGAGTAATAAAATTGTAAATCTACAAGTTGTATTATTTATACAAGTTGTAACAGAAGTTCTATTTTCATGAACCAAATTGTATAATATCTGATCTCCTTATATTTGTTCAATAGTTTACGTGTGCGAATTTTATAGAAGAAATTTCACCTGGATTGTGATCACCAAAGATAGTTTGTGCAACAGCAATGCCTCCAAGTTTACGGTCTATTTGATATATAGGTAACTTCTTCTGCTGCACTGCTGATTTGGCATGGTTTGTCAAATAATTTCCACATTCCAAATCCATCCCTGCAAAATTTCAATGCACATTCATTACGATTCATCAAAATTATTACAAAGGGTTAGTTGAGACTGAGAAACACATAGCTAGTGTAGTGGTATAGTACAACAGGTGGCCAAAACCATGTGACTATTATGCCTACTATGAATTTATAATTCCTATCATGCGGATGATATTCAAAGCCATACAAACAGACAAAAGATAAATGACAAATGCTTTATGAGTAAGCATTAAAATTGTTATTATTATTAGCATTATCACAAATAAAGCAAAGTAAGAAAATGATGATAACAATGTATAAAGATGGTTAGGTCCCAAAATATATACCAGCTTGCATAACGTCGGCTACAACATCTTCTACTGATTTTGCATATCCTTGCTGGTCATGTATGATCCCAACTGCTCCACAATCTGAAGCAATATACCTGTATTTTTTTTCACCCTGAAAGGTTAGACTTAATTAATAACTAACCAAACCATTCATTGATTCAGATAGATAAGGTAAAAAATGAAATGATTAATCACCTGTGGAATCCCCATTGTTTTCTAACTGTTTTAGTTAAGAGATTGTAATCAACACAACTTGGAACACCATTTACACGGTTATAAGCACACATTATCCCACTAGCTCGTCCTTTCTCTATGCAACTACGAAATGGTGGCTGACATGTGTCTGCCAAATCTTGCAAACTCACCTGAATCATAAAAAGTCATGGCAATTTAGTATCAATTCAATAATTGACTACAAGGCATCAGCACTCAGTGTAAGAGTTTGAGTTTGTAATATCAAGAGACGAACTTACTTTAGCATCAAAGTGAAAGCGATTAACGCCCTTCCAGTTGTCCAAATCATAGGCAGTGAAATGTTTGCAACAAGCAGAAGCTTGAAGGTGTCCCCTTAACTTACCACCTTGAAATGAATCACCTTGAAGTCCTCTAACATAGGAAACATCATAGTTAGAAGTCATCATAGGATCTTCACCAACTGTTTCTTGTCCTCTACCCCATCTTGGATCCCTAAATATGTTTATGTTTGGCGCCCAAAATGTCATCCCCATTGCTTGCCCTCCATTGTACATTGCTCTAGCTTCAACCCCAATTACCTATTTCATTTCCACATTAATTCAAAAAGTATAACACACTTTGCTAAATGGATCTTTAGTAAGTTATTTCATATTGTTACCATACACTTCTTAAATTCAAAATGTGGAGGATGTACCTGACCGATTCGGTACCAAAGGTGGGAATCAAATGTAGCAGCGGTGAGGATAACTTGAGGGAAGCTAGTTGCGGAAGTGATAATGCCATTGAAGAAGATGCCAGGGCCAACATTGCCAACGCCATGAAGTGCTTCACTCCACCACTGGTAACCAGGGATGCCGAGTCGGGGAATGGGAGGGGCTGAGTTAACGAGTTGAGAGAGTTTCTTGTCCAATGTGAGTCTGGAAACAAGGTCTCTGGTTCGTTGTGTGATGGGAAGCTTTGGGTTACAAAAAGGGTAGGATCTGGTGGAAGGATTTGAAGAGTCACAAGCAAATGGAGGTGGTTGAGTGAGAGCCAGGTTGAGAAAAAGGAAGATGATGGCTACTCTGATTTTGGTTTTGGCGGAGAAAATCTGATGGTAGTTAATTTTCGACAGAGAAGTGAAGAGGTGTGGTGGAACGG